AAAACGCCATGTAATTGAATATGTAACAACCTTTTGAAAATGTTGCTATGATAAATCCGCCATTTTGCTATTAGTATTCACTAGGCAAATGTCAATGTAGAGTGTCAAAATGGCGTTTCACTTGATTTAATTGGTTGATAAGTTCCAAATTTTCAAATTCCTTTGGTCAAAATCAATTTTTGATTATTCCCGGCTTTTGATTCAGTTCCAAGAGCCAGGAATAATGAATCAATGAAATACTTTTTCTCCTTAAAACTAGTGTTTCACAAGATTCTTGCAAATTTCTTGTTCTTGTCTTGTTCTTGCTGCAAGAACAAGACAAGACTCTCTTAAATTTCTTGTCTTGCAAAGCAAGACAAGACAAGAAGTTGCCAAGCAAGACAAGAAATTATTCCGCAAGACTCTTGCAATCTTGCAAGAAATCTTGCAAAAAAATGAAGTCTCCTTCTCTGCATATTTTTGAATTAATTTTGGCAACGTTGCGGTAGCTAACAACGAGATAAAAATGTCAGTATGTCAGTTTATGAAGTTAAAGGCATTTTTTTTGCGACAAAACGTTTTGAAATTGTAGTTTCAAAACACTCAAACAGATGTTAGTTTCTAACAGTTCCTGCAGCAAGTATAGCTAGGAAAATTATTGGTCATGATGGACAGCGACACTGCACACACAATATTGAATTTTAAGCTCAATGTGAAAGCCTTTTCGTTTTCAACCATCAAGGAGTCAAGTCGAATTTGTTTTAAGGTCTGTTAGCATTGTAGTGCATAAAATAGTGACGTTAGAGCTGAAACTGTTTTAATAGCTATTTATGTACCAAGGGGATTATGTAGATTATAATGCCCGAAGGCGAAACTAGCCCGAGGGCCTATGGCCCGAGGGATATATTTCGCCTGAAGGGCATTATAATCTTGAAATCCCCATGGTGCATACAATGCTTTATTTTCTACTCAGCCCAATATTTTTTCATCAATTTATTATTAACAAAATCAGTTAAACTTGTGCGACAGAATATTGATTTGTATTTTGACATGTACCTGTACCTGTGACCTGTACCTGTACCTGCGACCTGTACATAGAAACGAAATAAATTGATATATCTATAAACATCTCATAAGGCAAGGCAACGGTGGTAGTCCTGTGGGTTAACGCGCTGGACTACATGGGAAACGTTGATGGTAGACCGGGTTCGAATCCTGGCTAGACCGAAAATTATTTTCGGTCAGACATTTAGTGGCTGCCTAGGGTAAAGTGCAAATTAATAGAACAACAAAAACAAAAACACCTTAAGGTATTATAAGCGGGCGTTATAGATCATAACGCCCGCAAAATCGGGCGTTATGGATCAGGTTGTTATAGGTATGTTAACGTATTTCGTTTCCTAGGTATTATGGATCTATAATAGTAAAGTAGAAAATAAAACGGTTTTTGAAACTGTTTCCTCGAAAAAAAGCCTTTGAACCAGTAAAGATGACAACCACGTTATTAATGACAATGACACCAATGATAATCTTATATACACTACGTTCTTTCTCATCGGTTTTCATTGCCGTGATGAAACACGTCGGTCCAAAACCGAAGTGTGTGGTAGGAAACCGTCGTGTTCTTCTATCACACACTTCGGTTTTGGCACGACGTGTTTCATCGTCGCGATGAAAACCGATGAGAAAGAACGTAGTGTATGTGGCCCAATAAAGGGCCCCACAGACTACGATGAAACACGACGGTTTTTATCGTCGCAATGAAACACGTCGTTCCAAAACCGAAGTATGTAATAGAAAACCGTCGTGTTTTTCTACCACACACTCCGGTTTTGGAACGACGTGTTTCATCGCCGCGATGAAACACTTCGTTCGAAAATCGAAGTGTGTGATAGAAAACCGTTGTGTTTTTCTACCATTCACGCCCGCGGCACGCTTTTGAACGTAATGAATGATGCAAGAGTCTTGCATCAAGAATCTTGCAACAAGACTCTTGCAAGCAAAACTCTTGCTATGACGTCACAAAACAAATAATGCAAGAACAAGAAATTGCAAGACAAGATTTTTTTCTGCAAGAGTCGGGCAAGACAAGAATGAATTTCATTTCTTGTCTTGCTTAACAAGACAAGAATAGGCCCAGCAAGACAAGAAATCTTGTCTTGTGAAACACTACTTAAAACACCATCTAACTGTGTAACAACTTTTTGAAAATGTTGCTATGGTAAATCCGCCATTATTTTGCTATTAGTATTCACTAGAAAAATGTCAATGGAGTCTGAAAATGGCGTTTTACTTGATTTGATTGGTTGATAAGTTCCAAATTTCCAAATTCCATTGGTCAGAATCAATTTTTGATTATTCTTGGTTTTTGATTCAGTTTCAAGAGCCGGGAATAATGACTCAATGAAACACTTTTTCTCCTTAAAACGTCATCTAACTGTATATCTAACAACCTTTTGAAAATGTTGCTATGATAAATCCGCCATTTTGCTGTTAGTATTCACTAGGCCAATGTCAATGGAGAGTCTCAAAATGGCGTTTCACTTGATTTGATTGGTTTATAAGTTTTAAATTTTCAAATTTCATTGGTCAGAATCAATTTTTGATTATTCCTGGATTTTGATTCAGTTCCAAGAGCCGGGAATAATGACTCAATAAAATACTTTTTCTCCTTAAACCGCCATTTAACTGTATATGTAACAACCTTTCAAAAATGTTGCTATGATGAATCCGCCATTTTGCTGTTAGTATTCACTAGGCCAATGTCAATGGAGAGTCTCAAAATGGCGTTTTACTTGATTTGATTGGTTGATAAGTTCTAAATTTTCAAATTCCATTGGTCAGAATCAATTTTTGATTATTCCCGGATTTTGATTCAGTTCCAAGAGCCGGGAATAATGACTCAATGAAATACTTTTTCTCCTTAAAACGCCATCTAACTGTTTATGTGATAACCTTTTGAAAATGTTGTTATAATAAATCCGCCATTTTGCTATTAGTATTCACTAGGCAAATGTCAATGGACAGTTTGAAAATGGCGTTTTACTTGATACAATTGGTTGATAAGTTCGAAATTTTCAAATTCTATTGGTCAGAATCAATTCTTGATTATTCCCGGTTTTTGATTCAGTTCCAAGAGCCGGGAATAATGACTCAATGATATACTTTTTCTCGTGAAACGCCATCTAACTGTATAATGTAACAACATTTTGAAAGCGTTGCTATGATAAATCCGTCATTTTGCTATTTGTATTCACTAGGCAAATGTCAATGGAGAGTGTCAAAATGGCGTTTTACTTGATTTGATTGGTTGATAAGTTCCAAATTTTCAAATTCCATTGATCAGAATCAATTTTTGATTATTCCCGGCTTTTGATTTAGTTCCAAGAGCCGGGAATAATGACTTAGTGAAATACTTTTTCTCCTCAAAACGCCATCTAACTGTAGATGTAACAACCTTTTGAAAATGTTGCCATGATAAATCCGCCATTTTGCTATTAGTATTCACTAGGCAAATGTCAATAAAGAGTCTCAAAATGGCGTTTTACTAGATTTGATTGGTTGAAAAGTTCCAAAATTTCAAATTCCATTGGTCAGAATCAATTTTTTGATTATTCCCGGTTTTTGATTCAGTTCCAAGACCGGGAATAATGACTCAATGAAATACTTTTTCTCGTAAAACGTCAAATAACTGAATATGTAACAACCTTTTGAAAATGTTGCTATGATAAATCCGTCATTTTGCTATTAGTATTCAATGGACAGTCTCAAAATGGCGTTTTACTTGATTTGATTGGTTGATAAGTTCCAAATTTTCAAATTCCATTGGTCAGAATCAATTTTTGATTATTCTCGGCTTTTGATTCAGATCCAAGAGCCGAGAATAATGACTCAATGAAATACTTTTTCTCCTTAAAACGCCATATAATTGTATGTGTAACAACCTTTTGAAAATGTTGCCATGATAAATCCGTCATTTTGTTCTGGATTTTGTTATTAGTATTCACTAAGCAAATGTCAATGGAGAGTTTCAAAATGGCGTTTTACTTGATTTGATTGGTTGAAAAGCTCCAAATTTTTATATTCCGTTGGTCAGAATCAATTTTTGATTATGCCCGGCTTTTGATTCAATTCCAAGAGCCGGGAATAATGACTCAATGAAAAACTTTTTCTCCTTAAAACGCCATCTAACTGTATATGTAACAACCTTTTAAAAATGTTGCTATGATAAATCCGCCATTTTGCTATTAGTATTCACTAGGCGAATGTCAATGAAGAGTGTGAAAATGGCGTTTTACTTGATTTGATTGGTTGATAAGTTCCACATTTTCAAATTCCATTGATCAGAATCAATTTTTGATTATTCCTGGCTTTTGATTCAGTTCCAAGAGCCGAGAATAATGACTCAATGAAATACTTTTTCTCCTTAAAACACCATCCAACTGTATATGTAACAACCTTTTGAAGATGTTGCTATGATAAATCCGCCATTTTGCTATTAGTATTAACTATGGTTTATTTTTTTCCAAGATAGATTTTGGCGTTGTCAACTTTGAAACATAAACAATGCCGCTAATGCCGCTTATTGGTCGCTATTGTAAACCTAATGTCAACCTGCAGAAACACCTCATTTTGCGACCAATCAGGGTCAAGCGTTATTGTTTATGTTTCAAAGTTTTCAATGTCAAAATCTATCTTGGGAAAAAATAAAGTGTAGGCAAATGTTAATGGAGAGTCTCAAAATGGCGTTTTACTTGATTTGATTGGTTGATAAGTTCCAAATTTTCAAATTCCATAGGTCAGAATCAATTTTTGATTATGCACGTTTTTTGATTCAGTTCCAAGAGCCGGGAATAATGACTCAATGAAATACTTTTTCTCGTTAAACGCCATCTAACTGTATATGTAACAACCTTTTGATAATAATTAACACACAAAGGGAAAATATAGTCTGGATGTTTCTTGTCCACCTTCAACCTATGAGTAAATCAGTTTCCTAATTATTTTTCCTTCTTTTCCAGTTTCGGTTCTTTAATCTGGCGCAGCAGCAAAGAACGCAAGAAAAAGCCAAACAAAGCGGCACGAAGTGCCAAATGCAACAGCGGAGACAGCGGCATTCAAATCGAGGTAAGAACCCACTTTTCCCGTTCCTTACTTACCCCCATTTTCGATGACACTTTTTCTTTTTATTAATCTGCGAAGTGCCCTTTGTTACTACGACTTGTCTGAAACATTTTAGAGTTTTAACAATGCTCGTTACAACGGCCGTATTGTTACAAGGAAGAGCGAACGTTGTTAAAAATTATATTGCTTTTTTCTTTTGGGGTAGTTTTTGGGCTAGTTGCCAACGGATAAATAAAAGGCGCTATGAATAAGTCTACGAAAGAGTAGCTGCTTTTCTTCACAAACGCTTATAAAAATGACTCAAAATAATCCAAATGACCTTAGCCAGTTTTGAACTCAGGTTTGGCGTAGGAGTCAACGATGTCAGCTTTTACTTCCGAAAACGACCTTCCATTTGTCATGCACGGCTACTCGCACGAATGACAGGTGACGGATGACATGTGTGAACGATTAACAGGTGACAGAACTTCTAACTGGAAGTGACCGTTAAAGTCCGAACCAGAGTTTCTTTTCCTTGCTATCCTATTCTCCTTCCAGATCTCATCATTTTTTTATATTCCTGTCTGGTTCAATCTATATGTAGGTACTCATTTTTGTCATGAAAAACCCGTGATGAATTTTTAAATGTTTCCAACCGCTGCTTATTAAAATTTAATCTGACTAAGGCGGAGGAAATAAGATTTTATACCCTGCTCACTCAATGCGGATTTTCAACTTAGTAACAAAGGGCATTTTCTGAATAATTCTCTACCATTTATTATTTTTTCATGCACTATGTAGTTACTTCATCATTTGCCTCTTAAGTAATGTGTATGTGAACATTAATAATTTTATATGTATAATTTTTACTAGACGGCCGCTAGACTAGCTTGGTAAGATATTTTACCATATTATTACCCAATCTTCCTGTAGAATTAAGTTGTATTTTTAGGACATAAATTTAAAATCCAAACATTGGCATATCGGTGTAGGTAACTAGTTCGATCGCTAACAGCAAACATGGCCGTGCTAACATCGCCCTAGCTACAAATGCTAATTTGTAGCTGCTAGAAAAATAGCGAACCAGAGGATTTTAACGAATGGCAAATATTGATTTTCCTAATAGATGTTCGAGCACTTTTTGTTTACGGAAGCCATTAACAATGGAAAAATTCTAATAAGCAATTTATTGTATGGGTATATAAATAATTAAAAAAGTTCCACCCGAAACTCTAAGCGGTAAACTTTATGAAAATTGGACCGGTGGGAGTAAACCTACATAAATTAGCCGCTAATTACGACACCGGCAATAATAATTTAGGGCTTCAACAACTTTGCGCTTAGTGGCAGGAAGCCAAAAAATCGATCACCCTTTTCACTTAAATATTCAATTCAATTATCAAGGAAAGTGTTAAACTGACATTAAAAATTCTACAATATAATTTGAGCTTTAAGAAAGGCGATTGATAGAATTGAAGAAATCTTCACTTGAAAGGCATAAAAATCCTATTCCTGGCTCTTGTTTGGAATATAGAAGTATACACAACAATCAAATTTCGGCTTTGTCTAGAGTTAAACTTGAGCTAGAACACTACAGAAACGTTGAAATATTTTTACTATATAAATGGACTATAGAGACGATCCCATCAGGGTGAGAGAGCTGTCAGGTACTTTAAGAAAAATACTTGAAATTGTACCTACTCCAAGTACCTATAAGTACTTGAAGTACAGTGGATAAACGGTACTTATACTTGGTACTTGAACTATTTTTAACAATGTAAACTTTGTTTCACGAGGGGTTTATACTTTTGACATAATTTGCCTTTCTTTTTTAAAAAATAGAAATTGACTAAAACAAATCAATGACGTCAAAAACGTTCGTCGGTTCTTGAACCAGAAGTTATTCATTTTAATTTGTCAAAAAAATTGAATGTTTCATATGAATTAATCCACGACAACCTTTTTTCTTAAGGTATAACGTATAAACCCTCGTGAAACGAACTCTACTTTGCATTGTACTTAATTTTATCAAGTACGAGGACTTGAAGTACATTGAAAAGTACTTCAAGCGCATAAAAATACTTTCAGTACATAATAAGTATACTCCAAGTACTATAAAAGTACTTCAAGTACGATGCAAGTATAGCAAGTAACGTCTTTCTATATTTTGCACCCACACCTATATCTCACCTGTTTGAAGAGACACCCAGAAATGTCAAATGTGATAGTTGTATGGGTAATTTCAGAAACTTTGGAATAAAGTTAGTTACAAGTATACACGGTATATCAAAAAAGTGTGGCGAAGCAAAGTTATACTTTTTCAAATGGAATACCGCGTATATTGACCTATTGGATTAACCGTTTAAACCTGATTCCAAATATACTAGGCTTTTTAGGTTTATTTCTCATAGTCCAGTTTTTACTTGAATGATTACCTTTATATTTTGCTGGTGGTCTCTATACTTCACCTTTTTCAATAAAAATGCAATTATTCCACCCCTTTTTTCCTTATTTTCTCCCGGACTTTTCGGAATTAACGTAAAAAACCAAGTACAGGGTGTTTCTTTATATTTTGACCCTTACCTACAGCTTTAGTTATACGAGGTGGAAAAAATCTTTAAATAGGAAAGTTGTAGGGTTTTATTATCTTTTGCGAATCCCAAAATGGGCAAATGACAGGTGTTAACTGTCACAATGAAAAACACTTGCATTTTTCAAACGGAACACCGTGTATATTTTTGGCTAGAATGATATATTTTTTTCTTCCGATTCCAAATATACCATATATGTATGTTGATCTTTGGTTCAGCCGTTTTTACGCTATTCAAGTTTAAAAATGCATTTACATTACCCTTAAATTAATCTGTCCAGTTATTATTTTGACTGTCAGAAAATTTAATCGATTAAAAAATAAATGACAAGAGTGTCATAAAATTGAATGACGTGATCATCAAATTCATTTTGACTGTGACATGACATTGTCAGAAAAATTGGCTTACATCTCTAGTGATCCTTTTAAAAAGTATAACTTTGCTTCGTCACACTTTTGTGACACACTCTCTATACTTGTAACTAACTTCATTGCAAAGTTTCTTATATTACCTACAACTTTCGCATTTGACATTTCTGGTTATCTCTTCAAACAGGTGAGATAGGTGTGCTTGCAAAATATAGACAATCTCCCAGTACTTCAAAAATGTACTTGAAGCTCGACTTGAAGTACTTTACATTTTTAAATATTTTAAGTAACACAGACATTAGAGAATGCCTGTTGGGTTTTTGGTTAATTTTTGACAAAGGTTCCAAGAAAGATAATAAATGAAAAAATTGTCATGTTTTATGTTTTATATTTATGATAAAGACGCCATTATATTGTATTTGAAGTACAAGTACTTGAAATACTTCAAGTTAAAAACTCTGAAAAATTCAAGTACTTTTATTGAGTACTTGGTAATTGAAGTATATTCGAGAAAAATATTATATACTTTGTACTTCAATTACTTATACAAAACCTTGAGTACTTTCTACTTGTACTCCAAGTACTTTAGTAGGTAATGTTCTTGTGACAGCTCTGCAGGGTGAGTAGATTATTTTGCAAGCCACTTGAAACTTTCAGAATTTGTACATCGAAGTTTCTTCCAAAATGTAATCATGTAAGTTGATACAATTTTCAAAAGGGGATTTATGATTTCTTTCTTAACATTTTTAAAGTTTCATCTTTGCAGCCGCTTGAATTTTGCGGGATTTATAAATATACCTATATACTTGGCCAAACATAAAACTGATACAGGCAATATATGTTTTTTAAATTTGCCTAGTGTGAGTTAGGCTTAAAAACAAAAAGTCTCTTCTGAAAAATGTCAAAATTGAACAAAAGTAAATGCAACATATATTTTTATATTATGATTGGCTCAAATATGACACTGACTTGACTCTAGTTGTTATTTTTGAGGTGATAAGAAAGGTCGAATTACACAATACAACACAATAGAAAAATGCGTAACAGTTTTATGATTGTCCAAGTGTAGTTGTATTTTTGGAAATATGAATCACATTAAAAATTGATATGATGCTTAGGAAAGGATTCTTCCTCCACTCTGATCGGATTTAATTCTTTTTTAAATGAAAGACGTTGGACGTTGGAGGTTCAAAGACAGAAACACTTCAAATTAACCCAGAAGATCAAGTACAAAAATACTCTTAATGATTGAAAATGAGATCAGAAAATAAGTTGAGGATCTTTTGCAGGCGTCTGAAAATCAAAAACAAAAAAATATTTTGAAAAATTTAAAATGAAAGACATTGGAGGATCAAAGACTTTAAATCACCCAAGAGATCATAATATATAAAAATATTCTGAAAGATTGAAAATTTAGTAAGAAAATAAGCTGAGGATCACAAAATATTTTGCAGAAGACGAGAAGACGTTGAGGATCTTTTGCCAGGCATCTGAAAATCAAAGACAAAAATATTTTGAAAAATTCAAAATGAAAGACGTTGGAAGATCAGAGACAGAAGCACTTCAAATCAACAAGAAGATCAAATACAAAAATACTCTGAAAGATTGAAAATTTGGTCAGAAAATAAGTTGAGGATCTGAAAATATTTTGCAGAAGACGAAAAGACGTTGACGATTTTTTGCAGGCGTCTGAAAATTGAAGATAAAAACATTTTAAAAAATTTAAAATGAAGGACTTTGGAGAATCAAAGGGAGTAACACTTCAAATCAACAAGAAGATCAAATACAAAAATATTCTGAAAGATTGAAAATGAGATCAGAAAGTACGTTGAGAAAATATTTTGCAGAAGTTGGAAGACGAAAAAACGTTGAGGATCTTTTGCCAAGCGTCTGCAAATCAAAGACAAAAATATTTTGAAAAATTTTAGATGAAAGACGACGGAGGATCGAAGGCATAAACCCTTTAAATCAACAAGAAGATTAAATAAAAAAATACTTTGAAAGATTGAAAATGAAGTCAGAAAATACGTTGAAGATCTCAAAATATTTTGCAGAAGTTGGAAGATGAAAATACGTTAAGCATCTTTTGCAGGCGTCTGAAAATCGAAGACAAAAATATTTTGAAAAATTTAAAATGAAAGACATTGAAGGAAGGATCAAACCCATAGAATCACCCAAAAAATCGAATACAAAAATACTCTGAGAGATTGAAAATGCGGTCAGAAAATACGTTGAAGATCTCAAAATATTTTGCAGAAGTTGGAAGACGCAAAGACGTTGAGGATCTTTTGCCGGCGTCTGAAAATCAAAGACAAAAATATTTTGAGAAGTTTAAAATAAAAGACGTTGGAAGATCAAAAATAGAAACACTTTAAATCACCCAGGAAATCAAATACAAAAATACTCTGAAACATTGAAAATGCGGTCAGAAAATACGTTGAGGATTTCAAAATATTTTGCAGAAGTTGGAAGATGAAAAGACGTTGAGAAGCTTTTGTAGGCGCCTGAAAATCAAAGACAAAACTATTTTGAAAAAATTTAAATAATAGACATTGAAGGAAGGATCAAACACATTAAATCACCCAGAAGATCAAATACGAAAATACTCTGAGAGATTGAAAATGAGGTCAGAATATACGTTGAAGATCTCAAAATATTTTGCAGAATTTGAAAAATGAAAAGACGTTAAAGATATTTTGCAGGCGTCTGAAAATCAAAGACAAAAATATTTTGAAAAATTTAAAATGAAAGATATTGCAGGAAGGATCAAACACATTGAATCACCCAGAAAATCGAATTCAAAAATACTCTGAGAGATTGAAAATGCGGTCTGAAAATACGTTGAAGATCTCAAAATATTTTGCAGAATTTGGAAGACGAAAAGACGTTGAGGATCTTTTGCAGGCGTCTGAAAATCAAAGACAAAAATATTTTGAAAAATTTTAGATGAAAGACGACGGAGGATCGAAGGCATAAACCCTTTAAATCAACAAGAAGATTAAATAAAAAAATACTTTGAAAGATTGAAAATGAGGTCAGAAAATACGTTGAAGATCTCAAAATATTTTGCAGAAATTGAAAGATGAAAAGACGTTGAGAATCTTTTGCAGGCATCTGAAAATCAAGGACAAAAATATTTTGAAAAATTTAAAATGAAAGACATTGAAGGAAGGATCAAACACATTGAGTCACCCAGAAAATCGAATACAAAAATACTCTGAAAGATTGAAAATGAGGTCAGAAAATAACTTGAGGATCACAAAAAATTTTGCAGAAGTTGGAAGACGAAAAGACGTTGAACATCTTTTGCAGGCATCTGAGAATCGAAGACAAAAATATTTTGAAAAGTTTAAAAGACGTTGGAGGATCAAAGACAGAAATACTGCAAATCACCCAGAAAATCAAATACAAAAATACTCTGAAAGATTGAAAATACGTTGAGCATCACAAAATATTTTGCAGAAGTTGTAAGACGGAAAAACGTTGAGGATGTTTTGCAGCCATCTGAGAATCGGAGACAAAAATATTTTGAAAAGCTTAAAATAAAAGACGTTGGAGGATCAAAGACAGGAAACACTTCAAATCACCCAGAAAATCAAATACAAAAATACTTTGAAGGATTGAAAATGAGGTCAGAAAATACGTTGAAGATCTCAAAATATTTTGCAGAAGTTGAAAGATGAAAAGACGTTGAGAATCTTTTGCAGGCATCTGAAAATCAAGGACAAAAATATTTTGAAAAATTTAAAATGAAAGACATTGAAGGAAGGATCAAACACATTGAGTCACCCAGAAAATCGAATACAAAAACACTCTGAAAGATTGAAAATGAGGTCAGAAAATAAGTTGAGGATCACAAAAAATGTTGCAGAAGTTGGAAGACGAAAAGACGTTGAACATCTTTTGCAGGCATCTGAGAATCGAAGACAAACATATTTTGAAAAGTTTAAAAGACGTTGGAGGATCAAAGACAATCACCAGCAAATCACCCAGAAAATCAAATATAAAAATTCTCTGAAAGATTGAAAATAAGTTGAGCATCACAAAATATTTTGCAGAAGTTGGAAGACGGAAAAACGTCGAGGATCTTTTGCAGCCATCTGAGAATCGGAGACAAAAATATTTTGAAAAGCTTAAAATAAAAGACGTTGGAGGATCAAAGACAGGAAATACTGCAAATCACCCAGAAAATCAAATACAAAAATACTCCGAAAGATTGAAAATAAGTTGAGCATCACAAAATATTTTGCAGAAGCAAGACGGAAAAACGTCGAGGATCTTTTGCAGCCATCTGAGAATCGGAGACAAAAATATTTTGAAAAGCTTAAAATAAAAGACGTTGGAGGATCAAAGACAGGAAACACTTCAAATCACCCAGAAAATCAAAAACAAAAATACTTTGAAAGATTGAAAATGAGGTCAGAAAATAAGTTGAGGATCATAAAATATTTTGCAGAAGTTGGAAGATGAAAAGACGTTGAGAATCTTTTTCAGGCGTCTTAAAATCAAAGACACAACAAACTAACCCAAACGACAAAGACAAAAGTTGCAAAATTGGAAGAAATACTAAAAAATGTAAATGAAAGAAGAGAAGATGATTAGGGTTTTTTGGACACGTCAAAAAATGAGAGATAAAAGCTCTAAAGAGATTTTACACAAAATTAAGAATAAAACCAAAACCAAAATTATATTGAAAATTGAAAATAAAATCCGAAAGGACGATGGGAATCTTTTACAGACGTCAAAAAATCAAAGAGGGACATGTTCAGACCAAATTTTGCACACAAATTGAAAGATAAAAGGAAAAAAGACTTTAAAATGGCAAATAAAAGACAAAAATATTATAAACATCCAGAGAATCAAAGACAAATTTAGCAAATACTTCGCAAAAGCTGCAAGACCAAAGACGAAAAAGTCTTTTAGGATCTTAAAATCGACATAGCGTTTTCGAGAATATAAATAACAAAATTCATATAACTTTTTTTCATGCGGAAATATAATAAATCATTTCCTGCTTCCCTTAAAAAAAAGCAAATTGACAAGAGCCGCAACTAAAACGTTTGTGCGAATTTGAATTTGCCCCCTAAAAAGGGGGATTTTATTCGAGATTTAATGGCTTTCTTTTCAGGTAATATTTCATCACACCGTGTATGCTGAAATATTATTTTTCTTTACAGTTTTAAAGGCAACTGTAGCGTGAAATGGGCCTGTTTATGTAAGCGTATATATGGAGGAGAATCAGAGAAAATGGGGTTTCAAATTTTAATATCTCATTTTCCAAATTTCAATGAATTCTTGATGATTTTGTATAAAAAGTCGATTTCATGTCAAAACTCAGATTAGGATAAAGGTAAATAGGAAACCCTCGCCTTGCATCTATAGTTTGTTCTTTGTCCTTTGGGACCAATAACCCTCCACTAAATTTGTCCTTTTCTTTTTAATCATTTCGCCACCCTAAGCGGATTATAGGGACAAGAAAAAAGGATGAAAAGCTGAGCATTTAGATAAGGTACCAGTTAATTGGTTCGTAAGCTCAAACATTGTTTTTTGGGCTCAATGATAATCGCCTTTCTAGAAGAAAAATGTTTGCTAATCCCCAATTATTTTTTGTTTGGTTTGAGAAAACCAACATTTAAGTTTGTGAAGCCTTCTTAATAACCAGTTAATAACGAAATTTTCTGGCATCATTTTAAACCTATTTAAAGGGTTTTAGTCGAGTTTATTTTCCAGGAAAATTGTGTATTGAAACTAATTACCTTAACTTCATAAATAAAATAATTGTAGAGTCAAGAATTATTATTCGTCTTTTTTGATTTGTTTGCATTGAAATTCCTATAATTATTTCCTTTGTAGCTCTATTTGATGTTTGTAGTAAATGGTAATTATTTCAAACTCTTCATGGCTCATAGTTTTGAAAGGTACTTTTCGATCTTTCTATTTTCGACTAATGCGCTTAAAATGTTTGAATGAAAAGTGGAAACGCATGGAAAAGCTTCAATAGATTAGGTAGGTACGTTTTCAGTTTAGCAATTTTTGTGCTAAATTCCTTTTTCATTTTTCATTCAGTATTTCGCTTTTCCATAAGTATATTGATTGAATATATGAATTTTTACAAAAAAAAAAATCATCAATTGGATTAATTTCGAATCACAAAATTGTAAACTCAATAGAGCATTTAGGCAGTGCCGCTCAAAGCATTTATAATTACATTTTTTAATTATGCGCAAAGGAAAACAAAAATAAAATACAATAATAAATTACAGACCATAAACCACATTTACGGTATTTACTTTATCTTTTCTGATGAAGAACTTAAATAACGCAAATTACTTTTGCGTAAAAATAACGTAATAAAAACCAGGGACATTTCATTTTACGAGTGGAATTTATTTTTTTCGAATCTGAGGACGTAGATTAGGGAAAAGCAATTATATTTGTATTACCCACGCCACTTTTGGTCGTAATTTAGACCGGGGTGCGACTTTCTAAACTTAGCTGCTTTAATATTTCCTATTTCCTTCGCTTGCATGCCGCAATATTAAAGTTGCGAAATAAATTCTTGAGCGGATCTCGGCAAAAATTTCAAGGAAATTCGCTTAATAATGTATTAAGTTTAAAATTAACTAGTTTTTCACCGCTTCATGAATTTTCCAACCCCCCTATCCATCCAATTATCGCGTCTACCTACTCAACCGCTCTCGAATTCCTTATCGGGGGAGGCTTTCAAAGAGTCCCCTTTAAACTTCTAGTTTAATTTACCTAAGTTTACATCCGCTTGTTCTATCTTGTAAGGTTTAATCTGATTTATTTGAGACGGGAAAATTTTTACTTTTCCAGATGCCGGGTGGCTACGGGGGCGGCGAAAGTAGCGAATCTCACGACACCGATGGACCGTTGTACGACAGCCCGCCAATTCTACGCCGCAGACCTCCTGGCGGTCGGACTCATCTTGTACGACCCCATTCTGATTTTGTGAATCGGACTTTAGCTGACAAGGTAAGAATTTGACATTGACACTATTGACAGTCATCTGAACTGTCCCGCTTCATTGAAGTCATCTGTCACTTTATACCAGTCAGAGCTTTCTATCGATTTGTAAATCACAAATCATGTTAGAAGTGACGTCATCAGTAGAATGTCGCCCTATCGAAAGTGACTTTATGTGATTTATGACGTAATAGTTAGCGCCTAACTCATGTATGCAAATAGTCCTTAAGCGCTTTGTTTGTCCCCACATCGAAAGTGAGGCATAACTGACGTCACACACATAAGTGTGTGACGTCAGTTATGTCATTGCGTCAGCTAGTGCCTAATTCAACGTGTCGGCGCGGCGCTAGCTATTACGTCACAAATCACATAACGTCACTTTCGATAGGGGGACAAATATGTTATTGGGACAAAAAAACAATATTTATTACATTTATTTGCGTACTTTTTTACCTGATGTGTGTAAATAGTCCTTAAACATTTTGTTTGTCTTCTCATCGAAAGTGAGGTTATGTATGTGACGTCAGCTAGTGCCTAATGTGATTGCGACAGATGGTGTTAATGACAGACAAATGATAGAAAGTGACTCAGACGCAAATATTTGACTGGTAGGGGTCTGTTGATAGTTAAGGGGTGTCGCGATGACTTAAATGAAATAATTTTGGGTCTATTCTCACAACAGTTTGCCAACCGTCAGAAACAATCGCTCAAATAAGTAACCAATTGTATCTTGAAACGACGGCATTGAAAATATGTATGGGCGATATTTTTTGATAGTCTGCAAACTGTCAGAGACCCTTGTGAGAACAAACCTTTAAAGTACGCCAGATGTCCACTTGATCGAAATTTTCATAATGTACTTGAAGATTTCAAATATTTAATACCTCATAACGAATCTGTTGCATTCCATTTATGCCCCCCTTTTATTCACAATTATCTCCTTACATAAATAGAAAAAAAGGACGCGATTTCCGTGTACTGTCGAATTCTATAGCGACATGTCGCGTTCGATATTTCGTATTCCGTGTACCGTCTTCTACACGATTTCCCTATATATTAAATGTAGAATTCGACATGTAGAAAGCGACAGAAAATAGAATCCGCGTCCAGCTAGGGAATTCTGTAATTTTCTTTTATATAGCGAAACCAAGCGAAAGGTAAGATAAACCATAGCGCGACGTGTCGGCGCATTTTGCTGGTTTTGTGCTGGATTTTGCAGGTTTAGCTGGTTTTGTCCTGGCTTTCACTGGGTTTGTGCTGCTAAACCAGCAAAATTCGCCAACTTTCCCACGGTATCAAAAAAGTTCCCAGGCTCAGCTGACCCTATACCTACTAACAAAATGTTGACTTCAAATTTCCTGCGCGCTAGCAATTGCGACAGCTAGTGTGAATGACAGATAATAGACAGTCACTGTCACTCAAAGGCAAATACCCTGCGTTTTTATTCTCATCAAATTTTACCGATGGATTCACCATTCTGTCGGTCATTCTCATTTTCGATTGACTTAACAAAGATAGCTAACTCATGCCATGAACGAATCTGTTGCTAGTCATTAAGGCTCCTCCCTCTCATCAAATCCCGAACAAGAGGCGTTTTCTCGCGTCTCAAATGTTTCGAAACATTTTTCAAAACTGGCTTAAGTAATGTCACCATGACGTCATAATGACCCAGTGAAAGCCAACACAAAATCCAGCACAAAACCAATAAAATCCGCTGATTTTCCCACGGTATCGAAAAAGTTCCCAGGCTCAGGTGACCCTATACCTACTAACAACATGTTGAATTGAAATTTCCCGCTCTTATAATTGCGACAGCTGGTAGACAGTCAATCAAAGGCAAATATTTGAGTGATGGGGGACTGTTGACAGACAATTACTGGTATGAAGTGACTTTGAGGACACCCAGATGACCACTCAATCGAATTTTCCATGATGTTATCAGGGTTTTATATTTTCCAAACATTGAATACTTCATTGAACGAATCTGTTGCTATCCATCAAGGCTCATTTACAATTTTAAACCTAAATCCTAAACAAGGTTTTTCCATTTCAGATAAGATTTTCTGAATCATTTTTATGATTGAAATTTCATCCTTTTTATAGATTATAGAATATTCCTTAGAAATTTGGCAACTTCTGATTGAGTTTTTCTAATTCTTCCACATTCCCCTTTTTTTTCTCACCTTGACTTGGGGTCTGGCAATTTGGGACACTGTAGAGTACCTACGAAATTTCCGACAGTTATCTGTCAGTTTATATCACTCATCTGTTTAAAACCTGTATCAGAGCTGTCTATCAACCAGTAAGTGTGATGTATGATTGTCTTCGATGACAGGTAACGACAGTAGGTTTAAAGTCACCTGACTCTGGGAACTTTTTCGATACCGTGGAAAAGTCTGAGGATTTTGCTGGTTTTGTGGTGGCTTCCACTAGGTTTGTGCTGGCTTTCACTGCGTTTGTGCTGAATTCAAAATCTCATCCTTGTTATACCTAATTATAGAATGTCCCTTAGAAATTTGGCAATTTGAGTTGAGTTCTCTTAACTCTTCCACATTCTCCTTTTTCATTTCTCACCTTGACTTGCGGTCTGACAATTTGTGACATTGTAGGGTACCTATGGAATTTCTGACAGTCATCTGTCAGTTTATACCACTCATCTGCCTCGGTTTAGTACCCCAGTTTGGTGTGTCAAACAGGTACCAATCAATTCCGGATGGGAGAATGATTCCGTCACGGCAACTTTGGTAGGCGGTCCTAGTCTGTCAAATGCTATAACGCGGTTCGTAACTGGTTACTGCTGTTTTGGTAACTTTCTGTCTCACTTTGAAGCACAATAATTCAATTCTAAATAAACATGTCAAAGTCAAAATGTACCAAACGCCCTACCCACTGAATTCGGATAAGATTGTTGAGCTACGTCACTCATACATACCAAATGGTTAACCATTCGGCTACCAAACAACAGATGAAAGTCTGGGGCGAAATCAAATCACCCTATTGGTTGTCTTCCATTGCATGCAACAACAGTAGGTATATAGGGTCACTTGACCCTGGGAACTTTTTCGATACCGTGGGAAAGTCAGCGGATTTTGCTGGTTTTGTGCTGGATTTTGCTAGTTTTATGCTAGTTTAGCTGGTTTTGTGCTGACTTTCACTGGGTTTGTGCTGGCTTTCAGTGGGTTTGTGCTGAATTTCACAAAACTAACTAGACCAGCATAAAACCAGTGAAAGCCAGCACAAATCCAGTGAAAGCTAACACTAAACCAGCATAAAACCAGCAAAATCCAGTACAAAACTAGCTAAATCCGCCGGTTTTCCCATGGTATCGAAAAAGTTCCCAGGCTCAGGAGACCCTAAAGTCTGTTTTTTTTTTAAAGATAATTCCCCAAGTCAAAAATTTAGTAGCTATGTTGGCAACACAAGCCTTTTCTACATAAAAAAATTTGAAAGCATTGACAATTTCACATTGTATTGCCAACATAATGTCATTTTGACTTTTATCTTTTAAAAAAAAAACAGATTTTATGTAACATAACAACATGTTGAATTTAAATTTCCTGCGCTTACAATTGGGACAGCTGGTATGAATGACAGATGATAGACAGTCACTCAAAGGCAAATATTTGACTGGTGCATGGGCGACTGTTGACAGCAGATGACTGGTATGAGAGGCGTATTCTTTCTAGTCAATTATCAGTGATCAAAGTGATATAAGTTAAAGTGATAACATTCTTTAAAAACCTATGTTGCTAACTTCGTTCTGAACTCAACTGATACAAAGTGATCATAAAAATTATTTGATCAGTTCGATCACTTCGTGGTATTTTGACGTTTATTTGAATTTTTCTAGGTTAGGAAAACACAAAACAAACCGAAATTACCACATATACAGAGAAATTATTGTTAGTTTGAGTTTATTTTTTCAATTAATTGCTGTATGGGGATAAACACTGCCACTCTGTTTATGTTTTGTTTTGAAATTTGAAATACAAAAAAGCTAGGTTAGGTCTTGTGGTCTTCGCGCATGCGAATTTTATCACTAATCAGTTCCTGTTCTTTTAAGTACAAGTGATCAGGATCAGTTACAAGTGATCAAACTGAAAGTGATAATTGTTAGGAAGAATACACCTAATGTGACTTAGAGGACACCTAGAGCTGCTTTCGGGTGCAGAGGGCGAAGCTCCTAGAACACTTCACACCTGTCATACTCCATGCGTTTTGCACTCGAACGCTTGAAACCGAACGGGTCAAACTGTAGCCTAAGTACTTTGGAGTAAGTCAGGAGCGCTCAAAGGGTGACATCCGAAAACAGCTCAGATGACAACTCAATCGAAATTTGTATGATATAGGTAATTGAAGTTTGACATTTTCCAAATAATCAATACTCCATTGAATGAATGTGTTGCTTTCTATTAAGGCTCCCCCCTAACATTCACAATTCTAAACCAAAATCCTGAACAAGGTTCTTCCATTTCAGATAACATTTTCTGAATCATTTTTATGATTGAAATTTCATACTTTTATACTTAGTTATAGAATGGCAATTTTTGAGTTGAGTGCTCCTAATTCTCCCAAATTCTCCTTACCTTGACTTTCGGTCTGGTAATTTGGGACATTGTAGAGTTCCTACGGAATTTCTGACAGTCATCTTTCAGTTCATACCACTCATCTGTCTAAAAGCTATATCAGAGCTGTCTATCGACCTCTAAGTGTGATCTATGATTGTCTTCGATGACAGGCAACAACAGTAGGTATAGAATCCCTGAGCCTGGGAACTTTTTCGAGTCGGCAGATTTTGCTGGTTTTGTGCTGGATTTTGCTGGTTTTATGCTGGTTTAGCTGGCTTTCACTGGGTTTGTGCTGAATTTCACAAAACCAGCATTAAACCAGTGAAAGCCAACACAAACCCAGTGAAAGCCAACACGAAACCAGCTAAACCAGCATAAGACCAACAAAATACAGCACAAAACCAGCAAGGACGATAGCCTGTACGCAGAGACGTTGCGTCA